ACTTTTTTTCGACTCCCCCCCCCCCTGATCGCGCCATAAATACCTTAAGTCATTATTTTACATTTCTCTGGCTCAGTTTCGAGTATACTGCGAAATCTGATCAGGACTTTGAATAGTTAGATTGCACTATTCTACCTACCCCAGAGTTTTGAACCAGGAACCTCGAGCATGGGAACCAACGAACTTACCCACTGCGTCAGCCTAACCGACAATTATTCATCCCGCTTTTTTCCGTATTTTTTTTTACAAGTAAAAGATAGTTCGGAAAATTCTGAAAAAATTCGACTTTGTCAATCGAAATGTCTAGAATTTAATAGTATTTTTGTCACTTCTATCAATTCATTATCTCCTCACTACGTGACCAAAGTCAGTGGAGGTTTTCGAAATGATTGTTGAGTGAATGAGAACACAAGAACGGCAATTTCGCTCTCAGCCCCTATTCAACAGTAAACAATGATTGTTGAGTGATGCAACAATAATATATTGAGTAGACAGGACTCAAATCAATTATTGATATAAGTCCTGTTCGATCAACATATTAAGAGACTGTCGTACACATTTATGTTATTTAAAAATAATAATACTGTTTTATTACTTACGATACAACAATTTCAAATCGTAAAAGTGATAACGCCGTAAGCCAGCTGTCGATAGAAGGGGATAAAGCTCTGGAAGGGTTTTATCTGCTGCATCTGCAGTGGAACCCATCGGTGTCAAAGGAATCATTGATGTCATGAGTAAATCCATCTTCATTGAGAATTCCACCAGATCTCCGTCTTTGACTAGAAAGAAAAATTAAACAAAATTTTTGACAATTTCACAAAATTTGAATCTTTTCACTAATGAACAATTTCAGGATAAACTATCAAGATACATATTTGATACGAAATTTCTGCAGCCTTGAAAAAAAGATGTTGAAATTTCTATTCTCCTTGAACTTTGTACAAATAATTTACTATTAAATTCATAGACTTAATTAACTGAACTTGTGATATCTTTTCGACCGCCGCGAAGTTGACCCAACGGGGTCATAATTGAGGAGATTTCAGTGGCTAACAGAATAGAATAGAATAGAAAAAGTGCGGCTGGTCACTTAAAGCGCCCAGAGTCACCTAAATCATACGATCTTTTGTAACTTCCGCCTTAGTTTCGGTCAGTCACACAGCCCCAGCCCTGTGTTTCTCACTAGGCTAATAAGGCTGGTGACAGCCGCTTGTTGTAAGTCCTCTGGTTTCAGGAAAGCCTGGCCCCAGATTTTATAGCGACGGAGTACTAATAGGGGGCATTCACATAAAATGTAGATGACGCCCTCCTTATCGCCTCCGCACAGTCTGCAGTCTTCTTGTTCTGCAAGTTTCATCTTCAACAGATGAGCTCTGAGAGCTGTATGACCCGTAAGGAGCCCTACTGCTACCCTCAGATCCCCTCTGTGCAACTCCAGAAGCTTTCTGGTCCTAACTCTTAGTTGCCCTCTCATAAGCAGTTTCGCTTGTCAGCAGGTCGCAACTTTCTCCCAACGCCTGACATGATCCCGCTGGAAATGATCTTTAATAAGAGTTTTTCCCACTGCGAAGGGCATGCCAAGCAGGCCGTGTCAGGGCACACTTTCTGTACCCTCCTTGGCCAGCTTATCTGCCTCTTCATTACCCAGAATCCCATGGTGACCTGGCACCCAGGTTACGGTGACCCGGTTGTTTTTACCCAGTATGTCCAATGCCTGCATGCATTCCCACACCACCTGTGACTCTGTAGTGGATTTTTCCAGGGCGTGTATCGCCGCCTGGCTGTCACTGCAGATGAATATTTTCATCTTTTTTGTGTCTCTCGCGT